AATATTTGCCTTCTCATTTCGTTGATCCGTAGTTTTAGGAAATTATTGTTATAACATTGATGATTAACAGCCTGCCCTCTTTGCCTATTTATCTATTTTCTAAGATTATTCGACTAGTTGTTTGAAGAAAAGACACGAAACAATGTTTTGAACTTAATTTGCTGCGTCAAACTATAGCAGGTGCAGATTCTTCGCTTATAATCCGTCTGCTTCAAGGAATTTTAATTCGTTTATGTGTCTAGTGCTTGTCACCTACTACCGCTTCATGTATCTGTCCTATTTCCTTAGTCGGCCATGTCCAACAAAATTTAATCGATCAAAACAGTTCCTAATCATGGCATTGAGTGCAGTTACCAAGATGATAAACTTTTTAATCAAAGATGATTCGAAAAAAATTTTCAACAAATGCCTGGAAATAAATTGATTGTGAGTGGGTATTCATGACTACTAGCTCAAATACTCGCTGAAGTAAAATTTTGATTAACGCTATTCTGTGGCGTTTTATCTGCAAATGTCACTACTTTTTTGTGTGACCTAAGTAGTTGTTGATTGAGAGTAGACTAATTTTGAATTTTTTCATGCAAAGTGTCAGTCAGAAATCTGAGAAAAGGTGCAAAGAGGATCGGATTTTTAGACGAATCGAAAGTGGCGAACGTGACAAATGGAAAAACTAGCTCAACAAGCAAGCTCAACTAGCTCAACAAGAATACCTTCGATGGAAGCACGGCAGCCAACGAACTTAAACAGTGGAAAGTAATTCAGTATTCATCGTTGGTTGAATTTATGTAGGTTAACTGTGTCTTTAAAAGACTTTTTCCTTGAAAGGTTATACCTTTAAATTGTCCCAAACAAAAAATGCAGAAGATACATTTTTAAGTTTCAAGGAATTCTGATTGGAAAAGAATGGGCTGTAGACAGAAAACTAACTTTTTCAATCGAAAAGAGACAAGAAGGACAGGAACTATAAAAGCCCATGGTCGAGTTTTTTTTCAGAATACCGCCCGTTACCGTGCGGTGTTCGGAACTATGGCGGTCGGACAAACTACCGCTCGGCAACCGTGTCCCTCCATTCACCTTTTTATTTTGCATCCGTGAAGGTATGAAAGAAACAGAAAATTTCAAAGAACTTGATTATTTTCAGATTAACCTTTTTTAAATTATAGGCTCTTCAAAATTTGAACTTCGACTCGAGTCAAATTTTCTCCTAATACTGGGACCATCATGCACTTAAGCATAACAAAAAAAAGAACGTTGGAAACTAGTTTCGAACTCGCGTTTTGCGTGTACATAATGAGAAAATACCGAACGGTTACCGTTACAAGTTAAATACACGAATAGCGATAAACCAACACTGAATAGATAAATAATGTTATGATCTCAGTCTGGTTCAGAAACCTGTAGTACCAACTGGTCTTGGTCGGAAAATTGTGTATTGAACGTTCGTTGAATATTTAATTGAAAAACAGTTATTATTTTGAATGGGATGAATAAAATTGAAATTAAACAGTTGTTGCATTTCATAATAAAAATGTGTGCTTAAAAAGGGCAAAAAATAATTCCTCATCCGAATTAATCCTGGTCAAACAAAATCGAACCATTCAGAACTCTAGTACATATCAGTTAGAAAACTGCAGCAATATAAGTTAAAGTGAAGCGCTTACACACTTAACACTAAACACGTAACATTAACAAAATTGAGTGAAGCGATGACCTATCCGATTTTAAAACCATTTACCTCGCCATTTATCGCAAGACAGATTAATGACAACGCAGCGAAATTTCCAAATTTTTTATTCGGTAACTTCATAAATAACAATTCAGTCACTACCATAGCAGTGACCCAGTAATGTTTAGGTGGCATAGTTAACAAATTAAACGACATTGTTTTATATAGATCTGTATAAAACGGAAAGCTGTATACTAAGCCTGTTAGATCCTCGCTTTTCAAAGGAAATTGCAAAAAAACGTAGAAGTCGAAGTTTAACTGATTACCTAAATGAGTATTTGGAGCAGCGTGGTCCTTTTTTTGTGTCAATAACAAGAACGGTAGAAGTAAGCATCAGAGACAGCCGAATTTTATACAAAATTTAAGAAATTTTGGCTAATTCAGAATAATTCCGAAATTCAAAGAAAGCAGAAGAGGAAGAAGGAAGAATATCTTGCATTGCTGCTACTGTTAATGGTTTAAGGCGCTGACAAGTGTCAGTTTCAATAGTCTAATACCGTTTCTAAAGCTGTTAAGCTTTTAACATGGTCACCCATATCGTTACTAGTTATCAACTGCAGTCATGGCCCCAAGGCCAATCTGATGCTGAGTTCTTTCGTCAAATTGCTTGGGCTCGAATGCAGTGCCTTTAAAATGCATAATGACCAACATAATTACCAAACCATGGTGTCCTTAGAAGAAGCGCGAGGTCTAAACGCGAGTGGAACCCTAGAATATAGTAAAAATAAATAACAAAAGAAAAGTATCCTCAATCAGTTGCTTAGTTATACTTTTTATTTGTATGCTAGTTTATAGAGAAAACATTTTTTACAGAATGGTATGTTGCAGGACTTTGTGCGACGGTTTGAAAAAAGTCTGAAATAATGATCCAGCTAAAGTTCTACTCTCTAAAAGTTTTCGGATCCTACAGAACCATAAAGGGGTATTTCTATGCCCGGGTATTCTTTCTGGTATCTCTGACTTACAATGGCAGATATCCTCTGTTTCTGGTTCTGTGAAATTACAAACACCCTTAACCGTATATTACAATACCATTTTGGTATATTAGTGTACCTTTTTGGCTTTGTAGGATTCCTTTGAGGATATTTCTAACTCCACAGAATCAAAAAAAGAGGGTCTCTACATTTGTCATTCGGAGATTCCAAAAAGAATATGCTGACATAGAAATACCCTTTTTTTGATTCTGTAGGATATGAAAATTTTTTAGCGAGTAATCTCAACCGACCTGTTTTAGTTCAGCTCAATCATAAATGGAATTGTATGGCATTACTAAAAAAGTTCTCAACTAGAGCATGCTGATACCAGTCATATGTTCGGCTGAAAACGACATACTGGTTGAATGGTATCTATTACTTGTTGTCACCGTCAGCCATCAAATTGACTTGGAAAAATACCTCATTCTATCGAAAGACGATGATGCATACCTTTTGACAGAAATTGTTAACTGATCTGGTCAGAAGGTTCGAACATTTAATTCCAGAAATAACATTCAATATCAATTTTTCTCAGAGATTCACCAATTATAGTGAATGAAAATAATTGAAACTTCAGTTTTTCTAAATCAAAATTAGTCAATACAAAGGACACTTTAAATTTTTGTTAAATTATTTTAAATTTTCGGGCATTTTGCGACTTATATCTGTCCAACTCGAAAAGGCCAACCAGAAAACCGGATATCTAGTTTTCTCCCTGTTCAAAACATATTTATATGAAAAAATAGGTTTAGAAGTATGTATCCAAATTCGCTAGGATAATGACGCCTGTCTGAAAAAATGAACGGAATAGGCTACTGACAGATCCGATGTGACATTGAAGCTAGTGACAAGATCTGCTTAAAATATTTCTTAACAATTTTTTCAATAATACCCTTTAACTCATAACCAATTATACTTTCATTCTGGACTACCCTATTCACTCCGATTTTCACACTTACAATTACATTCTTTCATTCCAATAGACTTCGACAAAGATAATTTTGTTTGCTCAAATATTTTTTCTCACTTACAAACCTCTTGCTAAAGTCAACTTGGAATGAAATAATTTTGAGTATGTTCCAGACCCATACCCACAGATACGGTTATGGGTTTGGAACGAAAAATTTGAAAGTACGAAATCGCGTACAGTCTGAATTTAGAAAATGTTTTGCTGGTCTCTATCTGTATTGTTGAACCGATAATCTAAAATCTGGAGTTGCTTACAAACTAGAAAGAACGTATGATAGATTCGCAGTATCATATGTATTATACAAAAGGAAGGTCGTATAGTCAAATTCATTACTTCATAGTATGATTCAGGATCCATTTCTCCGACGCGTAATCTATTGTTTATTAATCTTGTTTGATGTAGCTCTATGTCTGTTCAATGCAATAGTAATCCAACTATTTACAACCATATTACAAGTGGGAGAACAACTTTGTTTAAACACACATATAATTAGTTAACAGTTTAAGAACTATAATGCAGACCAATGATATTTCCAGAAAATTTTCTCGATCCCGGAAAATTTTGAGAGTGTTGGGTATTTACGAGTACAGATAAGAATACGAAAATTTTAAAAACACAGATAGGGTTCGCCACTGCTCCGAGTCTGGACGGGTACTGGTCTAAAAATACCTGTACTCCCAAGGTTCTACACTCGGAGTAAGGCAGACAGTTAACATGGGGGTGGGCTCAAAGAGTAGTTTCAATTGATTGTGAACTAATGTATTGCTGAAAAAATTTGCGAAGAAATATTTTAAGCCAATCTGTCACCAATTCCTTTCTGGTACACCGGGTCATTCAGTAAATCTATCCAAAAATAATTTCGGCCTGGAAAGAAAAAATTTTAACAGAAGCGGCGATCAAGTTTTCCAGCAGCAGCGTAAAAAAAAGGGTCCGATGCAGATGTTTAGATCTGACTCTTACCGACATGGTCACTAAAACATGCATAAATTTCTCTAAAATAAGAAATTTCTTTGAGATATACTGACAAGATAGATACGAGGTACCCATATAATCGCCCCACTCCATTCTATAGCAAATAGAATATAATTTATCTTCTGTCCCTATTGATATAAAATACATATTTATCTTCAAATATACATAGTCTCTTTTGTTCCGATATGAATTAAGTGGGCTAGTTCAATTAAATTTAATTTGATGAGTAACAAAATGTTCGTAGGATTGACGAACATATATACCTCATCATTGTACACTTGAATTTGTAACTATCAAAATATTAAAATAAAAAACTCAACGTATTATCCAAAGAATGACGTTAAATTTAGTGATTGCAATGATTTGCATCATACTCAGCTATAATCACTGCACAGTTGAGGCAATTGCTTTAAAGGATACGGGTAAGAATCTTTTATTATACTATGTTTTCAAGAGTTTAAGATGGTTCTAAAAAAATGATCTCTAAAGACTTTTTCTTTGTATAGAATCATCAGTTGAAGATAAAACAACGAACAATGTGAACTGGAATCGATTTCGTCGTCAGTCATTTGAGGATATCGAAACAGTGAAAGCCATTTTGTCTATTATTCCACTTGATCAAATTGGTGCCATTATTGGTCAAGTACTGGCAATCGGTGTACAAAATATGTTTGATTCAAATGCTGGTGATCGCATTTTGAATATGTTGCAAGAACAAGCGCCAACCATATTGACCGGATTATTTTCAAATTTATATGGATTAGCAAAACCACCAGCAAAAAAAGTTGATAATCAAAATGTCATTAGCATTTCTCAAAGTTCAAGTTTAACAACAGCAGCTTCATCTAAATTAAGAAATGGTAGTTCTGTTGCAAATGTTGGCTACAAGACACAAATGGATTCTATATTACTCAGTTCGTTGTTTAAAAAATAATTTTAAACATTCTATAACAATAGGTATTGTATTGTAGTTCTACAACAAATCGTTTCATCAAAATTTTTCATGTTTTGAATAATATTATGTATTCATGAAAATTCAAGGGAAACTCAATTTGTTTGACTAAGGATGATCATACTTCTATGACGTCTATGATACTGCACGAAAAGAAATAAAAAAAAATAACACTATCCTTATTTAAGAGGTCGCTATTGACTACAAGGGTTTTTTGACAAAACCTGGTTAAATCAAAAGAAAGTAAGAGCAGGATTCGATATAATACATAACTTAGAATAGCTCGAGATATTTTACTGTGCTTTCACCCGATATGACTGTTGATAATAATCAAATCATTCAAACTCATTTCTACTTATCGAACCCTTGGATGTTTTAATATGCTATATATGCAACAAATCATCTTATTTATTCTGTCTAAAGAAAACGATTATGATAAGTAAACTTTTTTAAATAATAGTTGTACTTATTTGTCAAAGATTTAGTTGGATATCATACAGAACTTTGAATTTGAGATAGCAGAGTTAGTGTCAAAAACATGACAAGTTTTTATCCTGTTGCAACAGATTTTATCAGCGCACATTTACAACTGTTATTTATGATCCAATGGAAACCAGAACTTGTGTGATTTAACTGAAGGGGCTAAGTTTGGTTATTTAATTTTTAATTTGATATTACTTTTCACTTCTAGATATGTTTCGTAAGTTAAACGTAGTGAACAACTCTCAACCAATGAATATTTTTCTTATTCTTGTTTCTTTTTATAAAAATATACGCCAAATATACGCTTTTTGAGTAAATGAGTTTATACTCTGCACATATTGGACGAATCATTAGTATGAATCTCAATATGTAACATAAAGGAGAAGAAGCACGTTGAAAAATATAATCATATTCTAGAAAAGAAAGGAAAAGAATAACCAGTTTTATAGTCGGTTTTTCTCCTTTTATATTTTTATGTCATAAAAAAAGAAAGACATAAAGCAAATTTCATATGCATATCTCGAGTTTTCGAGAATATGCGTACCCTTGTTTTTCTTTCCTTTTTTTTCAAAACAAATTTCTTACTACATTTTTTCTTTCTTTTTTTTCGATTTTTTGCATCGACAACAGCAGCCTACATTAGAAAGAAAAAATACGGTACACAAAACAGAGTTGAATTAATGCAAAATGTTGACGGCTGCCGGTGTGTTGTGTGCATGCTTGCGTTGATGACGATGGTTTATTAACATAAAAATACGAACAAAAGGCCTATTTTTGCAGCACCCCTAGTTGCAGAAAGATGTGCCTTGAAAAAGACCTAACAGGCACATTGATAGGTATCCATCAGCGCAGCGGCATTACATGCTATACACATTGATCGAATAAAATGTGATAACAGGCAAGTAGAAATCAAAGTGTCGATCCATACCGACAAATATGAACCTTTCTTTACTAGCCTTTGTGTATGAAACTTGTTTTTTGTTTAAAATAATTATTTAATTCTTATAATTTTAAGTCATCTAGACTAAGTGCAGAAGATTCAATGTTCCTCTGCTGTTTCGCATGATAGTCTTTCAAGTTCTGGATGTTGTTTCCGTTTATAGTCCTAATTCCTGTCTTTTGGTGTATCCTTCTCTTTTTTCTTAGTTTGCATATAAAATTTAAGGCATACAACATATAGCCGAATAGAAAGAACCTTAGAAAAAGAGAAAGAATTTAATCCATAGAAATAATAATTGATCACGAAGAAGAAGAAGAAGAAGAAGAAAGTGGGTTTAGAACAATATCGACCATTGCTGAAATTTTTATCTTTTTTTTTTTCGTTCGTGTCTTTAAACGAGAAGATGTTTTCTTCCTTTTAAAAAAAAAAAAGACTGCCGATTTATTTCAGTCGAATAGAATGTGTTTACAATCGTCTAACGTTCCGAGTCACGAATTGCGCCGTAACAAGAAAAATTACTAAAAAGTATGGAAAGAGAAGAAGAAGAAAAAAAAATCCAACTTATAAAATAGTGAGAGTCTACACCTACAGACATGAAGAGAAAAAATGATCAAAGGTTAAAAGAAATGTAAAACAATCTAAAAACATATAGAATTCGTATTTTTGCGTGCAAAATGTGTTTTCTTATACATGATTAGAACCGAAAAGGTGAAATAAATAAGGCAGTCATCATCACTCATATAAATTTTATTACATGGACGCATATACACGTAGAGAAGAAGAGAAAAAAAATGATTTATATTTTGAAAATCTAAGAAGAGAGAGAGAGCAACCGATAGGCAAACAACTATGATTAGGATATAAAAATTTGAAGTCGCATAAATAATTACCGTTTTTTTATTTGCAACCTGTTGATATAAAATATTAACAATGATGTGTGTCGATCTTGAAATGGGACCAAAAAGTTTTAAGTTTTATATGAATCTATATTTTTAGAAGAGATATGAAATTTTTTAATTATATATAGTTAAAATGTTGAAGTCAAAAGAAAGTTATATTATTATAGGCCAGAACATACGTTAAACTAACTTGTAAACTTTTCAGCGTGAACTATAGGAGTTATATATGAATCTAGATCGACAGATTAAAATCTTCAACGGCTTGGATTATGACATTTGATTATGAATATTAGTGATAGCTAAATATGAGAGAGTTTTTTTGAGTTAATAATAAAGAGGGTAATTGTTCTTCGATTTGCTTGTTCTCATCGATATGTTCGTCTTTATCCTGGTCTATTAATTGTAATTTTTTTTAATTTTGGATGATCAGTTCGACTTTTGAAGACCTAATTTTAGGATAGTTCGTTCAATAAATATGCGAAAATAAAAATTTGAATTTAATTACACTATTATCCTTTTTGATATCTAAAAATGATCGTTTGGATACATCTTGTTTCTCCAATGTTCAACAGTTAAATTTATCTGTCATATTCACATTAAAATACATCAGATCATGTATTTAAATCCTTAAATAGGTTGAGTCATTAATTTTTTCCTGAATAATTGCAGCATGATAAATAAATCTCTCTTTAATATACAAAAATCATAATAAATAAAACTTTACTAAAATAACCAAACGATGGCCGAAGCACATGTTGTTATTCCATTCTCGTATTGAAGTCTATTTTTGGCACTGCTACAGTCTTGAAAGCGGCCGTATAGAATCATATGTACGCACATAGAGCAGACAAGCTACCACGGCCATAGCCAGAGGGAGAATTGAGGGGGAATCGGTACCCCCCTTGAACTTTTACAGAAATGATTTTTTTCCCGCTAAATCACGTCAAACTTCCTATGTTTTTATACTTCCTATACTGTCCCGAAGATGGCGTAGAGTCAGTTCACAATGTCATGGCAGTCAAATTAAAACTGTGTACCAATGAGGTCGGAAAAGGGTTTTTTTCGTAGTAACGGGAAAAAAAGAGAAAAGAGATTTCTTTTCCTCTAATATTACATGAATCTTTTGTACAACACTTCTATGATCAATCAGAAAAAAAATTTCATACTATCTCTGACGGCAAAAAAAAATCGATCCACTCCTTCGGAAAAATCCTGGCTACGGGCCTGTAAGCTATACATAACAAGACAGTACAGAGTGCGTCCGACTTGCTTTACAAAGATTCAGAGCTCTAGAAGCTAAAATTGTAGCTTATATCAATAATTACTCCTCGTATATATATCACATGCACATTTTTGAAAAATAATTATTAACATAGACATATCCATTATAAACACCTCCCTCTGTTTTTTTTAATTTCTCATCTTGTTTAACTATTAACTGTAATAACATTTCTTTTTTAGATTGGCTTATTATTCTGTAGAACGCTGTTAAACAATTGTTGAAAAATGGATAAAATTGATTTAGCTTCAGAAAATTGTAAGTTCAAACTTAATCACTATATTCAAAGGTGTACCAAAAGAACTTATGGAGCACGTATATTACTTCTTAGATATACACAGATTCAGATATTAGTAGCAAAGACAAGAAACTATTATAACAGCTGTGTACATGGTTGTCTAACGTGTTAAACGCGATATCTTTTTTTCCTTTCAGCGTTTATCTTTAGAATGTATGTAGTGGATATTGATCAGAACGGTAAGGACAATGAGTACGAAATCTAAAAGCGTTCTTTTTAAAACAATAAAACAGAAAGTCCTCTAGGACACAGCTCAATACAGAGTTTTAGATTATTACAAAGCAAACTACACGAGAGGCCAAAGCAAGCAAAGTAGGTCCCTATAATGGTAATTGGATGAATGCCTTTTGTTTTTCCTGAATTTGGTTGCACAATACAACAACAAGGAGACAATTTGTTATTCATTGAAGAGCACACAGCCAGTCACGCGCACACACACACATACACACACGCAGATATTGGTGAAGTTCTGGCATACTCATTTATAAAAAAAAAACATAGAAAATTTTTTTGTTAGATGGTTTTGATAGTGATGAAATGATGTTTCTGTCTTTTAGAAAACATCTTTATCAACAGTCAATAGGAGAAAAGCACAATTTCTCTTTCATCTCAACAAAAAAGAAACGGTTGTTTATCATTTCTTTGCGCCTATAGAACAATTTATACATAGATGTCGATAGTCTTTGCAAGCTGTATCTAGATTGTCAACCAAATTATATCCATATATACTATTCATTCAAACATTTACATTGTTCTCTTTCTATATATTGTGCGTTTTGCCAACACAATCCTTTCTGAGTGTTCTGTTTAGAACACAGTAGATGGCAAGTTTCCAATCTATTCCAGTCGGCTTTGCGAGAAAAGAAGATAAAATGAGAGAATGTCTCGTTGCATGATTTCGTTATTCTATCATGTTCTATACGAATAGTATAATACATCATTATCAAGCTGAGTTTTCCTTTAAAATGTTTTATATTTCTCTCCATCTCGTTCTTCTCTAAACTATATTTTTCTTTATTCATTCTGTTTAGAAAAATTTCTCTCGCCGGCTATATCCTCAACAACAGAACAATGTTTGTTGTCATAATGACAAGCCATTGTATGTGAATGTATATGTCGATGAGTGTGTGCATTTGTGCCAATTCTCTACTGTCCTCTATGTGGTAGTTGTCTGCCGTCAAAATATAGTGAAATGCTGATTGGTCGAAAAATGAAAAAGAAAAATAAGAATAGAAGAAAGAAGAATGAATGTGTATGTATGATGCCTCTCATTATGTTTTGTATGCCAAAGCGGCCCTATATATAGTCGAAAGGCAATTGCAGTCACAACACAACAACGATTATATATTCTGCTATTCATTGAAGAACACGTACACACGCGTACACGTTTAGAAAGCATTTGTACTGAACGAAGCTCTTACATATACGTTGACATATATCTATCTAGAAGTACATTAAACTGTTTATTACGTATATCGTGTGTTGCGAAAGAAAATAGAATTTTACAGTTACATACACATTAAAGACATTACAAAAATTCATCCAAAACCAATAAACAGTGAAATTATGGCTGATTCAACAGATGCCGTTCCACCAACATCCAAAGGTATGTCGGTTATTTGAATAGATAATTAGACTAAAACCTTGTAATATTTTGCTTGTGTTTAATGCATAACGTTTGTCCTATAATAAGTATCAATAATCTTTGTTTCTATACAGTGTTGAGCATGTTATTTTCCTTCAAGCGCTCATAAAGAAATTTTCGTTGTGTTAACATACGTTAGTTAATCTGTTTGATGAATGTCATTATTTATCTCGTTCTAGGCACAAAACGAGAAGCTGAAGAGGACAGTCCAACTAAATTAAAATCATTGAAAGCGACACAACATTCTGGAGTGAAAAATGGTGATTCTGACGAAAAACCAACAAGAAATGGCAATGTGAATCAGAATCAAAATGATGAAGATGATGAAGAAGAGGTAAGAAAGACGCTGAAAAATTAAATTTTATATTAGATTTTGAATTTTATATTATTTTTCAAGGTTGTCGGTGCTGAACACGAAGAAAATGGTTCGGATGAAGAAGAAGATGATGATGAATATGAAGGAGAAGAAGATGAAGAGGTTTGTAATTATTGAATACAAAATTTTAAAAATATCTGACAGGTTTCATGAAAAACCAATCATTTTTTAGGAGGATGAAGGTGAAGAAGATTCCAGACAAGAACAAGCACAACAAGTTGTAAGATCGATAAGAGGACGAGCAACTGCAAATGATGGTAAATATTGTTGTTAATAAAAATTGATATGAAAACTAATCAAAATCATTAATTTTTGTTTTGTAGAACAAGAAGCCGGAGCGTCTGGAGAAGATGAACCAAGTGGTGATGAAGAAGATGAGGAAGAAGCATAAAAATTCAATATTAATAAGACGAGAATACTGTCGAATTCAGATACTCCTGTATGTTTTGTCTTTTTACTTGTTGTATTTTAAGTATGTACATGATCTTCTCTTATGACGAGTAAAAATTCTTTTTTTTCAATTCCAATAAGACAATTTTCGAATAATAGGCAATATAAAACGGCAGAACGAAATAAAATTATGTTGAGCTTCTAGAGAGCCGTGTGTATGAAGACCTTTTTGTATTGTGTGTTATGTAAAGTCGTACATTCATTTTTTTTGTTTTCTTTCTCTACATACAAAACAAATAATGTTGTCTACTATCTTTTACATTTTTATGTATTTGTAAGGGACAGGATTTTGTTTTGTGTCCAAGTTTATTAAAATTTTCACTGCGCTCATGAGTTTTTGTTTCTTTTTGTCTGATCCTAAGGATCATAAAAATTGTGTATAACTCAACGCGTGAAGGACTATCCGTTTTCTTTTTTTGTTTTCATTTTTTGTCTCACTGTGTTTATTCCTGATTAACTAGAAAATATATTCAACAAAAGATGTGAACGAAGATAAAAAATTAATTCTAGAACGGGTTAAAACTACGTTAAACGAAAATTTATTAGCGAAAGTATATCATTATTAGAAAATTTTAGTAGGTGACGATTTTTTTCGTTTGTTAAACAGATATATGGTGTCCATTTTTCTGTTATGTCGCTGATTATCACTCCGGTATGTTAAATAAAATACTAAATTAAATTATGGTAAGAACCAAGTGGAATGCTGTTGTTGAAATTTAACATACTCAACAATTTTGTTACGAACAACTATAAAGTTCTTAACTCTATCGAATGATTAGGAAATATTTTGCGGGAATCGTTTTAATTGTCGATAATAATTCACTTTGTTCTCTTGTCATGAACAATTTATGCTTCATCTGAACTTGAAATGGTTTAGTACAATTAGAGCTATCCATTACTGTTATGATGGAAAATTTTTTGTAGATAAAACGTGAACACGTGGACTCAAACGTGTTTCATTTCCGAAATATTTTAACATAGTGAATTTAGAACTAAATTTGCTAATTTTCAACTTTTGACCAACATTTGTGAATAGTTTCCAAAGAGTTTTCATTTGGTAGATATTGAACTGCTGTTAAAAAGCATGATAGATCGAAAATTTTTTTTTATTAATATTAAATATGAAATATCACAGGGACTACACTCTTGAAGTTGATAGTTTTTTTGTCTCTGAGATGTATAGTGTACATGGTACACAACAACACAAACGACTTAAATATAAAAACGACGACTTACAGTAAAAAAAAAGAAAAAAAAGGTAACATATTTATTTAATATACGAACACAAATAATTAACAAAATAAAGCTCATGCCTTATTTAAAAAAAAAAAATGAACACTCATTTAATATAGACAATGAATGGAACATATGTTTCATACAATTTTCCTTATTTTTACACTTGAGAAATGAAATAGTTATCCTTATTTAATTCATGTGTATATAGAAAAGATAAAAGAACGAATGATCTGACATGAGTCATTATAAACAGTATTAGAAGAACTTTTTCTTCTTCATCGATTAGAAAATAGTCTTAAATCAAGCCACAAGATTAGATTGGAAATTAAATGGAATTTAATAGTTTACACATATGATAAGAAAATTGTCAAATAAGCTTACCTATTAGAACGAAAACAATCTGACGATTAACAGCACGAGCAAACTAAATAAAACTTTACTTTGTTGATTCAGAATTTGCTGCAAACTAGAAAAACTGAAAAATATGATTTGAAAGGAAACAATGCGGACTTAATGGTTTTTTTTAAAGACTTTCCGTCTTATCTAAAAATATCGTGTCAGTCACATTTCTGATAGATAACTCTTAATTATTCCCATTATTGTTCAAGACGATCTTTGTCTAAAGTTGTACAATTTTGAAAGACTAACTATTGAATATGTGTAGAAGTTTTGACAAAAAGAAAATACATGTTTAGAACATTTTTGCTTAAATAAAAACGCTTGTATTTAGGTTCAAAAAACAGTAAAATGAATAAACGATTGATACTTCCAAAAAAAACAACAACTCCTACTTGAATTTCAAATGAAAATATGCTTTTGGAAGGAGTAATAGCTTAGATTTGTTCTCTAATTATGAACTAAGATACCATGTGTATACTAGTTTAAATTTTATACGCTATCTAACTGGAAGCAGAATACAAAAAGGATAAAGAAAAATCTGTTTCTGAAAAATGATAGATGTTTGTTACAGAATCTGTAGTAAAGATATATGGAAACTTAATGAACTATTTGAATTGTTCATCTGTCCAATGGTTCTTGCAATGTAAAAAACGGATTGCATACAAACATCATTCATTATTAGTCTGTTGAGTTTTGCTTCCAAAATCACGCAAAAAAAAAAAGAGAAACACATTTGAAACAAACATACACATACAGAACTGAAGCGAAGCAAAAAAAAAAAGTGAGCTTTCTTGTGACAGACATATTTTGAGAAAGAGTCAGTGAGGGAAGGAAAAACTTTCCTATCTAATAATATGAGAGAAAAAAGTATTTTTACATAAAAAATAATGCCGTAGAAACGAACAATTCATCGATCTGATATAATAAGGAATCGAAGTCAAAAATGACGATATACTGTCGATGGAGGAAATGGTGGCCTTAGATTATCATTATAAAATTGTGGCTGTTGTGGATTATGAGATCTTTGTTGCTGATAATTTCGTTGTGCAAAATTCATTAATGATGGTTGCGTAGGAAAAGATGCATAAAATGGTTGAATCAATGGAGGTGGAAGAGTTGGTCGGTATGAAGGAGGTAGTGGTGGATTCTGTTCTAATTTTATTTGATCATGAGTATTATTAATATTCAAATAAGATAAAGTTCTTTGAGGTAATAATAAAGATGGTGATTGTTCTTCAATTTCCTTGTTTTCATCGATATTTTCGTCTTCATCTTGATCTGTTATTTGTAATTTTTTTAATTTTGGATGATCATGTAGTGAATAAATTAATTGCCTTATAGAATATGTTGTTCTATCAGTAATCAAATTCTTTAGTAATGTTAATAAACCTAATATTAAATTCAAATTCGCTGATACAACAGAAACAGCTGAATTATCGTTCAATATTGATAACAGAAAATGGAGACTATGTTCCATATTTTCATCAAATATTGATTTATCTATTAGATTATGAATGTGTAGTAAGTGATTGACTAATGATGAAGGTGATATCGTTGATGATAATTCTTCTTGTGATGGAATTGATTGTACAGTTGTTGTAGTGGCGGTTAGAGAAAAATTACTATTTTGATCATTTTTATTATTCTCTTCGAAATTCGGATGCATTTGTTCGCCGATAACAGTCTAAATAAACAGAAGAAAACTTAATTACCTTTGCTTTTCCAAAAACGTTTGTTTGACGATATTTTGAAAACGGCTGAGACACTGGCAGATGTCGCTCAGTTCTACACTGGTTTTTAAACATGTTAGCGATAAATATAGGTAGATCAGAATAAATAGAACATAAAAACTTATATTAAAGATTATCTATTTAAAAAATATTCATTAATTTGTTGAAATTGAATAGTTTTTTTTTTTTTGAAAATTCAAATTAGGATATAGACTACGTTCTTTAAAATTGTCACTAGAGATACACTGGTAGATAGCACTTTGTAGACACAATTGGTTCATAGTTGAACATCTGTATGGTGCTCTATGAAACTAACATTTCGTTAAACAATGCCATACAAATTGTTCCAGTCATTAAAAGTCTGATATCATCCGGAAATATTGACTAAATTATAGATTTATATGATACTATTTAGTTGATAAATTTCAATTAAACAATATTTCAATTTTAATACAAACAAAAAAAATGAGATATCGTTATACAACCTGACATGTTAACAAAATCATTTGTTGTTCATTTTTTCCAGATAACATCATACTTTTGGAACCAATAGACCAGCAACTTCAGGTCCATTGAGCATATCTCTATGACGATTAGAAATTAGTTGAAGACGCGCAATCAAACAAAATTTTATGTACTACACAAATGTCTATTCCTGTTTACTTATATCTATAGTCAATATCTATCATTATGATGTGATAACTCAAGCTACTCTAAATGTCAATATATCTGGCTCGCCCTTTTTCACCTCATGTAGTCGTTAGTAGTGATAGTAGTAGTAGTAGTAGTAATAGTAGTCGATAGAAGAGAGACTAGGATGACATTTATTAAACCAGAATTGCGAGAAAGAAATTAGAGAAAAACGAGAAATATAAAGCTGTTGCAGCCGCTTGATTTAAATATTCTATGGTGCAAACTTCCATTCGGGCCAAACCATGTTGAAAAAAATCACATAAAACAAATGCACAAACGTAAAACTAATCATTAGATGATAGTGATAATTACGAATAATAGATTTACATGTTTTGAATAATGAATTATAGAAATCGTAATAATCGTATATATGAATAGATTACGTGAAAAAGTGACGAGTTGTTAAATAGATAATTGGTATTTGTATGATGAGTATCACATGATCAAAGCATTTTCGTTGTGGATATTTTCTTGATACCTACCACATCTGCTTCTGATTGTTGTTGTTGAACGAGATAAGATGATTTTGTTGTTGAGGAAGAATTTGGTGGTAGTGGTGGAGGATTTATATCATCATTGATACGTGCATGTTTAGGACTAAAATAAACAAATAATAAAACAAGATTAGCTAAGAAAACTTAAAGAAGATTCTTGTATAGTTCAACAGACACACTCTTTTGTATGTTGGCAATAAATAATAGATCGAATAAAAGAAGAATAGCTCATAAAACCAACGGTCTAATCAGCTATTACTCAAAAAATGTTTTAAGATTAAAACAGAGAGATAAAAAAATGTACGGTGGATAGAAGAATGCGAAACTTCAATGGCTAGCGATCCAAAAAAATTTTAAAAATATTCCGCTAAGCTAGTAATTTCTACGAAAGTTACAGATATTGAAAGTAGGTGCTAGACTTGGTCTGGATGAAGACTGTAAATTTAATTTCAAATGTTTCAAAATTTATTAGAAGAGAAAAAAAGTACAAAACTTTTGGAAGATGAAGCAAAAGAACACATAACTTAACTTTAAATAATTATATTTTTGTCAATAAAGAAAGTGGAATATTGATTAGTAAATAATACAAGTTTTTCTATGCCTACTTGTACTAGTTTTACTTAAAAATATACGTTATACATGACCGTCTAGAAAATGAGAATGATTTATTGAAATTTATTATTGAAATTCGTATCAAAATTGTACGTTTACTGAAGAGTATGTGTCATTGACAAATTCAATTCAAACTATTAACATTGGTCTGATAAACAAATAATTACAAGAAACAACTACCTTTCATTCATTGAATCACTTTGAGATCGTGAATCAGGATTATCCATCTGCATATCTAAAAATAATAAAACAAAAGCAATGTTTAGATCTGTTTCTTATTTTCTAATTATCAAACGAATGTTGTCTTCTAAACGTTCTTTTATGAAAATTCCTGAAAAATATATTACAAATCACGAAAAAGACGGAGCTACAGACATTTAAACCTCTTTCTACATTATTTTATGCTTATACAAAACTTCAAGTAAAAAAATATCAAAAACTAATTCGAAATTTGCTTTGCTGTTTAATGTAAATGTCTGTAGATACTATACTGGTACGCGATGATTCATTTCTCGTTAGGAAATAACAGATTAGAAATATCGATTTGGTTCAAATCAGAAACTATTTCAAAAGATCTACTGGTGAACTATTTATCAGTTCACTCTGTGGATACTGATCTTTCTTGAACGCATTTCAATCCTTCGAAACGTTTTCGATGATGTAAAATTTCATCATCAATCAATTCATCCTCTATTAGAGGTGATGCTTCTGCATGGTGTTATTTGTCATTATTTTGTTTTCTACCCAAGAACTCTACTTTTGTTGTTATTCTTCTTTCATTTATCTCCCCCTGTTCTTAATGTTCGATTAGAATGAAAATTGGTTTCTCTAGTGTAGAAAGGCTCATAGAGAGATTTTTAATCCCCAAGCAAGCAAGTCAAACGAAAAAAAAACATTCTCGTATTTGAGACCAATATTTAATTGAATAGTATACTTTTCTATTACCTCATCTACTCGATTATAGAGAAATGAATTATTATTCATAGATAAGTCTAACGAGGGAACCTCACCAACTGATACCCTCCGGGTGAGCTCATACTTTGCTCATAGGTAGGACTCATAGTGTAGATAAAAACTCTAAAAGGATTCATCCCCTTGACTCTTGAAGACCTGGTTTTCTGGAAAAACAGTTTTTCAGAAACTCTAAAAAA